TCACAAAATTGGTTGGTAAATTCAACGAGTGGGTGCATCGACCTGGTATATCAAGTTTCTGCAATTTTTTACGGCAAATCAGTAGATTTTCGGGATGTAGATTGCTTACTTTCAATTCATGAATGAATAAAGCAACGACATGGTTGAACTTCTTTGCATGGAAAGACGTTTAAAATAACAAAATCAAGACGTATTTAATGCAATTGCATTTATATCGAGTCAATTTCTTTTCAATAATATAACGGGATTTTTACTACCGGTGATTTGGGTATTTTAGCCCCAAAATACCTTTAAATCGACTTTATCTTCTAGGAGTTCGACAGAATTTTTCCTTTCTTCGCTTAAATTATTCCGTAGCACTTTTCTTCAAGAATCTGATAAGATTTTGCTTGAGGCTGATCAAAAAACTTAAATTCGATCGAATAGCTTTCTACTTTCACAATACACGGTCTCGTCAAGGTGCGTCTTTGACCTCGCAGTGTTGGATCGTGAATTCTCTTTTTATGCTGTTTGCCTATTTTGAAATCTCTGTAAATGAAAACTAAAGGGGTTGATATGTGCGAGTTAATGACGCGCCTTATCAACACATTGTGTTGGAGTTCACTGCTTGTTTTTTTTTCCAGTGCATGTCGTTCAGCCGACTATGAGGGAATTTTCTTGCTTAACCCTCAAATTTCGGAAGGCTAGCGACTAAAACGCTTGAGATACCTGTGTCAAAACATTGCTTTATAATTGCAATGATTAAAAAAAAAAATAAAAAAATAAAACGTAAATTATGTTTGGAAAAAATCACCGAAGCCATGTGGCTCAATCAGGAAGCAAAGCTCAGTGGAGGAATTTTTTCGTTTACATAACGAGAGGACACCAGCGAGAACGCTTGGAATACCCGATTAACAACAGTGCAAGTACGATGAAATGTTGAAGAAATTAAAAATGTTTTTTTAAAAAAAGCAGAAATTACTCCTGAAATAGAAATACACCTAAACAGAAAAAGTTCGACTGACCATTCAATCAAACTTGATCAAAAAGATTAAAAAAAAAAAAAAAAAAAAAAAAAAAAAAAAAAAAAAAAAAAAAAAAAAATTAAAGGATATAAACAAGTATTTAAATCTTCATGAGGACGGGCCAGAGAAAGAAAAATTCTTATGATCCATTGAACCCTCCTTTCAAGACCTTATAAATTCCTCTTTTATCAAACAAAATTCTCTTATCCCGATGTAATTTTTGTTTGATCATTTTTCCAATCAAGAGTGGCCGAGTGGTCGGCCAAAGCGTCCCTGTTTTGGTGTGTTTATTTTTTTGCCTTGCTCCCCTTTATTTTATTTTATTGCAGTTTCATCGTATGCTATCGTGGGCTGCCGATAAAACTTTGTTTAACAAGATTATTTGGATACGTTTTTGAGCAAATAATAGCGATTTGGGAGGGGCATGCGAAAACAAACCCCAACGAATGTGTAAATATATTCATTCATGGGCAGATGCTGAGGTCCCTACACCGAGCCGACCGAGTATCAAACACCAAAAGGATTAGCAGGGTGGGGAAGTATGTCATTAGGGTGGCAACCGTTTTTTTAAATTTATATTTTATTATATTTCTCACAAAAATTTCCTGTGCTGCTCGGCCGTAAAACACGAAATCTCATGCCGATAATCCGTGAGGAATTTGTCACGCTCTGATTTGAAATAGACTTCAGCTCAAATGCCGTAATTTTAGTTTAACCCTTACATTCCCACAACTCGGAAAAGCGTGGAATTATAAGTCAAACATATACGTATAAATAATATAAAATGATATAAATTTAATGAACTGCTACAGTCACGCAGCGCAGTAACGATTCTGGCACCCTGAAAAAAAAAAAAAACACATTGGATGTAAAGTCCAGACCCTTGAAAACATTGACAAGAAAAAATACTCTTGATTCAATCGGATTTTTGCTTGAATCAAAACGAAATCCGCTTAAATTAAGAGGCTTAATTCTTGATTCAAGCTAGATTCTGATTGAATCAAGAGTACTTTTTCTTGTCGATGTTTTTAAGAGTCTGGACTCTAGATACAATTTATTTTTTTCCAGTGCAAGTTAGAAACATAGGGTTTCGTCCATATTTTATCGCCTAAAAACAATCGATATTTATCGAAGTGGACTTCACGTGAAATTGATTCGGTATATAGAATTTGTATCGAGAAAAGTAGTTTTGCCAATTTGCACAATTGCAGTCCACTTCCTACCATCATTCTTTTTATCCGTGTGATTTTGGCCCTTTTAAGTGGAACCCAACAAATTTTTCCTAAAAAATGCCTGTACAAAGATCTTTTGTGACAAGAAATTTCAATTGAGTTTTATTATCAAAGAATGAAAAAAGCAAAACATGAGTCATCCCGTCGTGTGTCCGTTGACGGACAAGGTCTCCGCAAACTGCAGATGTCGACACTTGGGTTAAACGTCCGCACGCAACTATAACTGCTCTATGGATGTCCGTGTTGCATACGCAAAAATTGAAGGCGAAAATACTTTTCCTCGTCAGCATCGCATCTCTTTGCTGTCTCCCAACAACGCAGCGTTGCACGTGCGCCAAGTTCCGTGGCTCCGTCGTTTGCATAAGATTTCTTGCGTAATCTTCGAAACCAGGTTGACCCATCTACACCAAACATCTTTAGCCGCAGTATACCTTTTTAAAGCAGAAAGCTGAAAAATGCGCGAAGTCCTTTCGCAGATTGTGAGGCAAGGCGTGTATTATAAACTTTGTCAATGTGCTCGTCGAAAAATCTTCATCACGGATAGTTCCCAAGGGACTGTGACTGAGTCACGCAGAAACTGTAGACTTGTCCAGGACTTTAGCAATTCCTGGAGTCAACTGGTCAATTCTGGACCAACGTATGGTCGATGAATGCCAAATGGCAAATTCCGGTAATGCTACGACCAGCAGAGGTGTATACTGCCATTCTAAGGAAGAACGCCGTAAGAACCTTCAGGCGCTCCCAAATTTCTCTTGATAGAGCACGAATTTCCTGGTCAACTTATGAATATTTTTCAGATAATTTTGCTCGCAATCACACCGAAAAGTCCTGAAAATTTTAAGGGAAAATATTCATAACTTTCCTGAAAATGAACATTTTATCGAAGGAAATGTGGCAACTCTCGAATGTTCGTACGACGTTTTTCCTTAGCACGACAGCATAGTCTTAAGTTTCTGTGTGGCTCGGTCACGGTGCCCCCTTTTAGTGAATTTAGACCTAATTTTTCATTTTCTCATTTCGATGAAGCCTGTAAACCTCACGTTAATATAAATCAGTGAGAACGGAAACACACCAACTCGAAAAAATGAAAATAACCTCGACGCACACAAAACTGCACAGTAGGTGAGGAAGCTAGCCTGAGAAAAAGGTTTTTTGTGGCAAAGGACAAGAACTTAGAGACACTTGATAAGTCCGAGTTGGAACAGCAGGGCCGGATTTTCCTACTCGCCGCCCATGGGCCGCCTGCATTTTGCCGCCCCCTTCTCATTCGTTTTGAAACATCAATAAAAACCATCAAGTGAACGTGCCAGCGGGGGAGGGGTGCATAAGACGCGTTTACTCGTGTTGAACACATTTTTTGGGAAAGCCCTGTCAACACTACTAGCAGAAGGTCACGGAATTTTGCGCGAAAGTCAAGTTTCGTAAACCGATCTCTAATGGACAAGGCCTTCCATTCATAAGAAAGGAACGAACAAATTATGAAAGAACAAGCACAAAATTTGGTTTAATGATTTTAACTTCCGCCGCCGCGCCGACCGCACCGTGTTTGGCGCAATGCGTGAAGTATTCGTGCAGTCTTGTAGGCGCTAATATGTGTTACATGTCGATTGCCGCGCCGAGGGCTTCTCCTTTTCATCTCAAGTCCTCGTCATCATTTCTCCCTAAGTCGCGCCGTTCCAGGCCAAATTGTGTATTTGGTTTCTCTCTTAACTCGACATATTAAAGGTGCTGTCTCTTGTATCACCGAAAGACGTCAAAATTAGAAATTACTATTTACTCTCAGGAAATGAGAGATTTTGTAGCCTTTTCTCGTTGGTAATTTTTAATTTCTAAATCCGATTTTTTTTTTTACCTACATTTAAAAAAAATTGCAAAATTTGCCGCCCCCTAGATTTGCCGCCATGGGCCGCGGCCCACCCCCTTAATCCGGCCCTGTGGAACAGTTGAGCTAACTTCAATGACCTCCAAAAAAATTGACTGATGCCTTTAATGAAATTCAGCATTTTTGAGAAACTGAGTTGGCATGTTTTTTTTCTCACTGATTTAAATTGAGTCAATGGCAATAAACTAATAAACAAAAAAAAAAAAAAAAAAAAAAAAAAAAAAAAAAAAAAAAAAAAATACCACGACACACTGGGAAAAAAAAAACACATTGGATCTAGAGTCCAGACTCTTAAAAACATCGACAAGAAAAAGGACTCTTGATTCAATCAGATTTAAGCTTAAATCAGAAGAAAATCCGCTCAAATTAAGAGGCTTGGTTCTTGATTTAAGCTTAAATCTGATTGAATCAAGAGTATTTTTTCTTGTCAATGTTTAAGAGTCTGGATGTTTTTAGGAGTCTGGATTAGAATCCCATGTGTTTTTTTCCAGTGCAGTAAATAAGAGACGGGGAAACGGAAGCCGACTAAAAATGAGCCCCACATGTTAAAACTACCCCCAGAAAGGGACTCCACTCTCATGAACGGCCACGCGGGTCGCCCACTCGTCGCAGCTCCGCGGTAGCCGCATGTGTCCCCAACAGCCCGACCGTCCAGTGTCCAGCCCAGTCCACGCTCGGAGACGACGCCGGCGACGAATTTCCGCCACGTGCCGACGACGGCGGACGCTGGTGCCTGTCGCACTGGTCCACGCGAAAAACTCCGCCCTGGCCAAATCGAGCAAGCGTCGCGGCGCGCAGGCCCGAAATTTCGCGCGCTCTTTCGCCGTCCCGAGTTTATAAAAGACGCCCCGAAAACGGCGTCCCACAGTTGCTACAGGAACACCGGCGCGTCAGACCCGTCGCTCGCTCGCTTTTCCACGCACGTGACTTTCCCCTGCCGCGTGATTAACGCAGTATTGTTTTCTTTGAAATTATCGGCTCCGTTATTCGACTGACGGATTGAAAAATTCGACCGGTGAAGAAGTTCGGAAGCCTAGTGTCTTGTTTCTAGTGCGTTGAGTTTTTTGGACTCTTTCTTGTGTATAGATATCATCAAATTGGTCGTTTCATAATTGGTGAGTTGAGTGTTTGGTATCTCTATCTATTCGTGGGGAAAAGTGTTGGGGGTTATCCCCTAAAATTTTGGTACTATCCCAATTGGGGGGCTTGGAGGACAAGGTGCATACGTGCAGTATTTCCTACTTCGAGAAATATGTGTTTGAAGTCTCGAACTTACATGGATCCTTTTGGCGGAAAAAGATTTAAAACTGACTTAAAAGTTCATGCTTGAATTTTGTAATTTGGGAGGGAATTTTTCACAAAATATGCGTTAAGCCTAGTTTTACTTGAAATCATTAATATCTTAATTTTTTAAAAAAACTGCACCTATTAGCCTTGTCCTCCAAGCCCCTCAATTTGCTATATGATATGGGCATACCGAATTAGTTGTGATATTACCGCAACATTCGGGTTAATAACCTAATTAATTGGGATACTATACGGATTGGAGGTGCCCATATCATCCACCTACCCCCTCCTGCCTCTTTTCATAGCGATAAACGTGTTGATAACAAAAAAGAATCGGTTAATATCGTCCTGACTCCGAAAAATCTGTCTGTGTAAAACAATCCCCCATGTGGCGTCTGTATACTAGATGAAAGTACCTCTTGTCAAAAGGATTCTGAAAGAGATTTCGCAAAACTTTCTTCTGGGTGATCAAAGAGAACTTGTGAGACCTCACTTTTAAGCGAAACTCATAAAGTCAGTTTTCGTTCAAATTTTGAATACTTGGTATTCAGTCACTTTACACGTGAGGTAGGTACTTCTTCCTTGTCTTTTGTGGCTTTACAGGGTAATAATAATAGCAAACCTCATGGCACGCACTTCGTAATGAAAGCGTGAGGCTGAAACTTGAATGGTAGCCTTTAACGATCAATTGGTTCGAATCCTAATTCAACACGTATGGAAATATTAATAGGTATTTAAGGAGGCAGGAAAGTAAACTGTGTCTTAATGTTTATATTTACTTATCGTGGGGTTAAATGTCCTTGGGCTACTATATTCGTCCTTTCTTGAATTGAACCGAGCTTGTAGCGTAAAGGGGCCAACTTTGATCATTTCAGAAAATTTTCTGAAAATTGTGATTGTCAAACGAAATGTGTGTAACAATAGTACATTGCGGAAGGTGTATCAGCGACCGAGAAAAACTAGTTTTGAGCCTTTAGGAGCTTTATACTCCTCACTCTGGGTCCTAGATGTACATAAACAACAATAACCACACACAGCACAGCATAATTTGTTCAGTATAATCCTCTTAAATTGTTCCAAATGCCGGTTAACGCCCTTCTTTTACGGCCTTAACCTTCCACGATCGTGTGTGAAGGTATGTTTTCGGTAAATAAGTCTCGATTACTCCGCCAAACAAACTAATCCCTCTGAATAAGCACTTTAAACGCGGTCTCTAGAGATAAAACCTTTAACCTTCGACTTTCTAGGATTTCAGCGGGGTGAGCGATTGACCTCGGAAATTCATCTCTGAACAAACCCTCTCATCGAGTTAGTAAAAGCTCAAACAGATCAAAACGTCATGGCTCACGTAAACTCGGTTAAAAAACCAAGGATGAAAACTTCGAACAGAATTCAGCACACTGTTACATTTTTTATTTACTATTTGCTGTGAAAAAGGAACAGAAGATACTGGACACTAGATACTGAACACTTCATCAACATTGATAAGAATATTTGCATTCTTGTCTGTTACTTTTGGTCAATATAGAAAGTGAAACACAAACCAACACAAATTTTGTGTTGATTTTGGTACAGTTTGTGGTGACCATAGTGCAGAAAAGAACGGAGAGATTGTGAGAATGCATTCCTCCGGTTGCGACGCTGGTATTCACCACTCGTTTTTTATTAAATTTTTTAAAAAAAAACTAGCTGGCATTTTCTCTGGAAATTGTCAACCGAAGGCTAAGGTTATCTTTTGTGTTCACCTCCCGTTTTAGCCGAACTGTGGTGTTAAAATTTCTTTACTTGAATGTGTTTTAAACGCGATGTTGCAGATAAAATTCAACGCCTAAGTATTTCAACATTCATTTTTTTTTTATTTTAATTTTAAATTGTTGATAGATAGAGGAAAATGCGCGGACCATCATTAGATGGTCAAAATTACTCATACCTAATTTTTATCTCTAAAATGGAACTTCGGCATTTCTGTTTAATTTAGTCCAATCTTCTTCACAAAGTGTTACTCAGGTGTGTTTTAATGGCTATCATTACCGGCTCTCATAAAATCAGCGTTCAGAAACCAGCGTTTCGATTTCGATTGAAGCGCCGGATTCTATAATTGGGACTCGAAGTTTGATCGCCGATAAAATTAGGACAGGTGACCCAGAAAACTCGCCAGATATTGGCGCTCACTTTCCTACGCTAGACACCGTGTTCTCTCCTAACTCCTCTTAAAAATGAGGGCCCTCTTATAATAACAGATTTAGCGCTCTCTCTCTCTCTCTCCCCCTCTCACACACACACACAAGCGCGGAGAGAGTTGTTGAAAGTGCTCATCATTGTATTTTGTCTATCTAACATCACACGCTGAAAATATAACTACACATATCGCGGATATCATAGAATCGTATTTTGAAGGCAGAATCTCAATGAATCGGCAACAAACAACAAATGGCAAAATGTCTGCATCCAGTATTCATTAAAATCCCACATGGTGAAAAAAAACCTTTATGAATAACGTCATCAACCTTGTCAATGTAACCCATCAGTTCTTTCACTTCAGTCTTATTAATCACTAATCAAAAAAAATTGTTCTCGATGATCCGCTTGAATAACAATCGTTGCTGTGCCTGGATTCCTAAGAGGGAAATTTTATACAAACTTTCGAGTAAAACTCTGCAGTTTGGCTTTAGAGATGGATTTATGTAAGGGATCGATATGATTTGCCAGTATCCGTCATAATATTTCCATATTGTTATCGTCGATTTTAAGCTAAAAAAAACGACACCAGCAACGTTTCTTATAAAGAAACTAACACACGGGAAAACGCGCACAGACGCGTTAAATCAGCACGGATGTAGCTTTAAAAAAACCAAATTTTGTCAGCAAAAAATAACGCCTCAAGTCAAAATAATACCTATCTCAAGAAAAATGTTCTCCAGTGCACAATTTCCCTTGATTGAATTTGTTTACATTGGTCTCTAAGAGTCCCATTAAAAGCTGAAACCTGATGAACCAATCAGAAAGCGACGCAGGCTTAGCAATCTCTCCCAATGTAGCTACTCCAGGGGCCACACCGCGATGCACCCTGTGGCTGTGAAAGCGTAAGTCTACGAAAGTCTAACGGGAACATCTCGATTCCCAGCTCGGAACTAGGAATTACAAACAAATTCTTTCGATCCGAAGCATCTTGCCAAATATTTCTCCATCCCTCCTCCCCTCGCCCGGACTCCCTGTCTCTCCGCCCCCCGCTCCATTCTCTGCCCGGTGCATACCGCAAGCTTGCCAGAATCGTGTAATGCCCCAATACCTTCCTGCTCTAAGTAAACGCGCCTCAAGTTAGCGACTCGCCGCACTTCCGAACCGGACTAAAAAAAGAAAGGGGAAAGAGTGTGCTGCACGGATGAAAAAGAATGTTAGTGGTCATTAGATTCCTGAGTATGTATGATCTCCAGGGTGCCTGGTAGTTTAGACAAAAAAAAATTCGCCAGGTCCTAATGGATGACTTTTACCGGTAGAAATAGCAGATCATAAGGTTCTCTGGGCCCCCTTCTTCGGTTACACCTCTGCGTATAAACAATTTTTTTTTTTTTTTTTTTTTTTTTTTTTTTTTTTTTAAATTTGTATCTTTTAAATATCTTCGTATTAGCGTTTTATTGGTATACCAATATAACAAACTCTACCGTATGAAGTATACTCCATACGGTAATTTAGTGCGGCACACAGTGGATCAAGTCAATCAGAGAGGTCGGACGTCAAACTTTTATTTTAAGGGATGCTTTCTGCAGGAAAATTTCACGAAGAAACCAACGGAACCACTTTTTAAACGTCAAAGTTTAGTATAAACGGTGTTATAAGCTTTTAAAGTTTCAAAATTCAGCCCGGCCTCACCCATTGACTCGATCCACTGTGGGACGGTGAGATCTAATTTTCCCTCCGAATAAAGTCAGAAAAATGGGACAAGAATGTATTTAAAATAAATTCAACATTATTTCCGCATTGATTAAAGATGCGAGATTAAACGATGCTCGCTACACGCTGAGAACAGAAGCTACATTAACAAAAGGGCATAAAAGTATCCTTTTTCCAACGTTATGCTCCGAAATTCGAATTACGCTCGGTAAACAATAAAGGTCGGGTCGGAAACCCCGTTTTAAGTGCCGTGTAAATTTTTGATGCCTTCGAGGGTGAATATCGCGATCTTTTCCTCACTTTCTCGCTCTCTCATCTTCTTTTCTCTCTCCGTGGTGTTCGCTTAAACCTCGGCCCAATTTTCGTGGAAAATAAGATCACGCTCTTTTCCGATATAGCCGTAAAAGGCCGAGCTCTCAACGAAAAATTCACGGATGAGGATGTTGAACCCTTAACTTTGCGTTCAAGTCAAGAGGCACAGTAGGATCACATTTTGCGAAATACAACCACTTTCTTTGCCTCATTCATAAAAGTGTCTATTTGCTTTAGAAAACTATTGGTTTGTATGATATCTCAAGAATGAGTCGAAAATAATGGTGCATTTATTATTGCAACATTGACTGTGGAATTGATCAACCATGAACTGAAAATTATTTACCTCAGTAACCATATCACATATCGACAGCGTAAGTCCGCAATCACGCATCTCGTTTGCGGTGTTTGGAAATCGCCGCATCTACATTATTTTTTTAAAGGAGAACAAATTAACACCATTTCTTGAAGTTTTTGCAGAATTTTCTTTGCACAGAGAAGAAAAATTACGGCATTTCTAAAGAATTGCCGTGGAATGGTTTTCCGTTTCAAAAATAAAGTATGACAGGAAGTTTGCGACGTCGCAAACCGAGTTATGTGATTGCCGACTTACACCGTCGATATG